AGTCCAGACAGAGGAAGTGTCAGTCTCTGAGGTGGGAGCAAACTTGGCATGCTTCACCATGCTGGAAAGGCCACGATCACTGGCATGTGTTAGTGAGAGGGTGAGCAGTCCAGGAGAAGATCAGAGCTTCGGGCAGGCACCAGGAGCTTTTTGCTGCTTTAACTTCTGCTGTGGACCTGTCATCATTAGAGTGTGTGCAAATGGAGCTCCTCAGTTCGCTGTGAGTCCCAGGAGAGCCTGAGAAGCAGGGACTGATTCCACTCCTCTTTGGCCCCCGTAGCACAAAGTAGTTGTAGTACCTCAGACATACAAGCTCACAAACCTACAGCTGTGGGATAGCTGTTTGAGATTCCTTAGAAAAGAACATTAGTAACATTAATCTGTTTGGAAATACCAACTATGGATAGCTCCTTGAATTTTAATTTCTTGCTTGTCATCATTTGGATAACCATTTTATGGCGTATTAAGGGAAAGTGATTTGTGGTAGTATGTGGATCAAAAAACAGCAGTTCAGATGATAAAACAAAATTATTGTCTGAGGTCCCTGGTGGGATTTTCTTTAACACTGCTATCATAATCAGGTTTATTTCTAGCTTAAAAAAAAATGGCAATAGCCTTTGGGTGTTTATTAGATGAAAATATTTTCTAACAGTTAAAACTATTTTGAAAAGCAAAGTGGAGATAATGTACATTCCATTATTGCAAGCAAGTATTTGTAGAAGGCCTACTATGTGCCGGAGCCTTATATCCTGTAGGCCCCACTCCACTTGGCTGAGGCTGAGGCTGAGGCTGGTGCTTCTATCATTTCCACTTTGGAGAGAGGAAACTCAGCCACAGGAGGGGACTATGATCCCAGGCCTCTGGCTCCAGAGCCTACCTTCTTAAATACCAGGTTATATCCCTCCTTTCCCCTAAGGAAGGGGTAGAACCAGGAATTAAATATAAAGTCTCTCAGGAAAAGGTTGGAGAGTCCATGTTTGATATTTAAAGGTATTTGAAATTTCAACTCTACAAGTCCTGGTAATTTTTTTCTCTGTGTAGTTACTGCCTAATTATAGATCATCAGAGAATCCCTTGTAAAATATACTTTTGATGGAGCAAAAGTGGTTAGGGCAATGAAGGCACACCTTTCCTGAAACTGTCTGTTAAAAAAATAATTAGCTTGGTTTCTCACATTATGATCAGAAGAAGAAAATGCTGCTGCTTTTGTCACTGATGGGTGGGATAAAATATTTTGAATTTAGATAATTTATTTCTTTTTTATATTTGAACGGCCTTCCAAGACAGTTCCAATTTGTGATGTAATCTCCAAAAATTTATTTATTTTTTTTGTCTCTGATTTGAAGGAGTCTGGCAATATCTGTGCTTCAGACTGGTGTTTGCATATTTAACCAGTCAATCCTAAATTACTTGCAATAAAATTAATTTAGGCTATCGCTGTCATTGAAGATAACAGTGTGAGATAATATATTCTTTGCCTAGTTCAGTTGCCTGAGATGTTTTAGATCAATTTGAGGAAAATAAATGGAATAAGTAAAATCAACACATGAAAATAAATACCTTCATTTTTAATTTGTTCTATTTATCCAGTACTCCCATCCATTAGTTATTCTATTTAAATCACAATGAATTGGCACAAGAGGATGGATATCTTTTGAGATTGGGTCTGATGTGTCCGTGAAGCTGAAGTCCAGAAATGAAGAATATTATTGAGTTCTCCTTCAGTTCTCTTACTGACTCACTGGACAGCATGTGGGATAAATTATATCGCATCTTATTTGTTTGTCCTGCTACTGACATAAGAAAGGTCTTAGTCTGTTCAGGCTGCTGTAACAGAACAGAAGGGTAACTTATAAACAACAGAAATTTATTTCTCATAGTTCTGGAGTCTGGGAAGTCCAAAATCAAGGTCCCAGGAGATTTGATGTCTGGTGAGGGCCAACTTTCTGGTTCATAGAAAGATGTCTTTTTGCCAAGTCCTCACATTGTGGAAGGGGCAAGGGAACTCTCTGGGTTTTTAGTTTTTATCTGTAAAATAAGATTGTAGGACCTGCCTTAGCTTGCTTCCCTTTAGACTTCAAAATGGAAACTTACTTCAGAAGAATTCAGAGTCACCAGAGCATTTGTTTTTGTTGTTGTCATTGTTTTTTTTGAGAGAGAGAGAGAGAGAGAGAGACAGCACACACACATGCATGCAAGCAAGCATGGGCAGAGGGATAGGGACTCAATCCCAGGATCCTGAGATCATGACCTGAGCTGAAGGTAGATGCTTAACTGACTGAGTCACCCAGGTGCCTCAGAACATTTATGTTCTTAATGCTGCAGTAGAACCTGAGAACATCTAGCTGCAGAGGCTACACAGAGTCTCAGGAAGTGAGGAAAGGGGTAGTTTCTGATTCTATTTTTCCTATTATTGTACAATTGCTGTGGTTTGTTCTGGGCTCTTGAAAATGTTAAACAGGTCTTTAGCCTTGAAACAAGCAGACTTTTACATAGAGTTTATAAATTAGATACCAACTTAAAGCAAATCAGAGGACACCCTCACACACACACACACACACACGCCACTTACCATGAGAAAAATCAGTTACACTGAGTCAGCCAGATAATTGGTCCCTCAATACAATCAATTTCTTTAAACACTGAATTAAGAGTTGTTCTGGTCAAAACTAATTTTGCATGTAGACACTAAATATGTGGTACTTAGGTTTTCGTAAATCCTAAAAAACTAAAATGATTCTAAAAAAAATGGAACACTCGCCACTTCCTGATTAGCTATGTGGAAGCTAACTTTTGCATTTCTAGATAAATTATTTTACGTAGACCAAGATTGCTTTCATTTGTTTGTTTTCTGCTATCATATAAATTTCCAGTAATTTCTCATGAAATTAGGTTTGCACAAGAAACCCCCTTTCCATGCTTGTTTAATCTGATAACAACCTCATGGTAAAACTGCTTTTTAGAGCTCCCTAAGTCAAAATGAACTTGTCAGCTGACATAATTTCACACTATTGGTGACCCACAACTCATCTAGCTTCCTTGTATTAAACTGAACAAAATAAATGAATTGAAGTCCTTTTCTTTTTCTCCTTCACATGTTGCTTCCATCACAGCTTTGTGAGTATGTATGTGTGTACATGTGTGCAATCTAAGTAACTAAATATAGGTTGTAATGGTTAACGTATGTGTCAACGTGGCTGAGCCACTGTGCCCAATATGAGGTCAAACATTATTCTGGATGTCTCTGTGATGGTGTTCTTTTTTGGATGAGCTTAGCATTTAAATTGGTGGACTTGGAGTAAAGCATATGGCCCTCCATAATGTGAATGGACCCCATCCCAGAAGTTGAAGGCCTAAATAGAACAAAAAACTGACCTTCCATAAGCAAGAGGTAATTCTACCAACAGATGGCCTGAGGTTTCAAACCGAATGATCAGCTCTTTGCTGGAGTTCTGACCTGATGCTCTTCAGACTTGAACTGCAGCATTGGTTCTTCTCTGGTTTCCAGCCTGCTGGCCTACCCTGACATTTTTGGACTTGCCAGCCTCTATAATCACAGAAACCAATTCCTTACAATATAACTTTTTTGTTTTTGGCATACACATACTGATCAATACATGGACATTTTCTAATTTTTTAATTAAATGATCAAAGAAGAGGCTCCTGGGTGGCTCAGTGGGTTAAAGCCTCTGCCTTCGGCTCAGGTCATGATCCCAGGGTCCTGGGATCGAGCCCCACATCGGGCTCTCTGCTCTGTGGGGAGCCTGCTTCCTCCTCTCTCTCTCTCTGCTTGCCTCTCTGCCTACTTGTGATCTTTGTCTGTCAAATAAATAAATAAAATCTTTTTTTCAAATAAATAAATAAAATATTTTTTTAAAATAAATAAATAAAATCCTTTTTTTTAAAAGATTTTATTTATTTATTTGACAGACAGAGATCACAAGTAGGCAGAGAGGCAGGCAGAGAGAGGGAGGAAGCAGGCTCCCCGCTGAGCAGAGAGCCCGATGTGGGGCTCGATCCCAGGACCCTGGGATCATGACCTGAGCCGAAGGCAGAGGCTTTAACCCACTGAGCCACCCAGGTGCCCCTTCAGTTGTGTTTTGATTTAAAAATCTCTGTGTATGTATTGGAAATGTGTAAATTATGCATCAGCCTCAAATTTCTCACTGCAAAGGCCTCCAGGGTAGGGATAGGAAATGGGGAACAGCGAATAGCTGCCAGTGTCCTCTTGAAGAGAAAGTGCTGGGCTGAAGTCTTCACATTGCAGCTTCTTCACGTTTGATTTTTTTGACATACCTGCTGCGGAAGAAGTGCTCAGGACTATTGGAAAATCAAATGTAGTCCACTTCTCTTTAGAGTGAATTTTTCAGTTTTATTGGAAAACAGTAATAAATGTCCCTGGCCAGTAAGTTAAAAAATGTTGTTTCAAATTGAAATAAATATCAATATATTATGGACTAGAATGCAAAACTTGCACAAGTTTGACAAAACTCCTAAGGAGGTTTCCACTTATAGATGAATGTTTTCAGTGGGTTCCTGGTCACCATCTGCCCCCAAATAGGAGTTCAGATAGTATTCTCTACTACCCTCAGCAATACACCTTTGTTAGAAACATTTCAAAAGCACGATCTTAAAATAGGCTGGCTTTAAAAAGTGAAAAGTATTGAAGAAAAAGGAGAGGACCAACTTCATTTGAGAGCTTCCTCTTCCTTTAATTAAAAAGTGAGCGCTTTCAGGGTGCCTGGGTGGCTCAGTGGGTTAAAGCTTCTGCCTTTGGCTCAGGTCATCATCCCAGGTTCTTGGGATCACCCCGCATCAGGCTCTCTGCTCAGCGGGGAGCCTGCTTCCCCCCTCTCTCTGCCTGCCTCTCTGCCTACTTGTGATCTCGGTCTGTCAAATAAATAAATAAAATCTTTAAAAAAAAAAAAGTGAGTGCTTTCAAAAAGCAGACAATAGAAACTGAGCTATCAACAGTGACTTTTAATGACACTTATTTTTTGTTTTTTGACTTCCTTGTCCATAAAAGCCCTTTTGTTGTTATTTTAGTTCTCATTTTAAGAGCTACAATTTATAGAGAACTTCCAATTCTAAGTCTCCACTTGGGTTTTCATATTTACTTCTTTAAACAGCTCCACGAGACAGACATATTAAATAATCTTATAAGTGGCATGGATGTGCCTCCAGGTCTCCAAAGCCCACGTTTTGAGTCCATTGCCATGTTGACTCCCGCTCTTTTTGCTCTCCTGGTTTAACCATCAAAGCACATTTACTGGGCAGTGGATATGTCAGAAATAAAGGTATTCACATTCAAATAATACTGTGCTGTTGTTTTCAGAGTAGTCCACGTTTCATGAACCTGCAACAAAAGAAACTTCAAGTCATGATCTCTGAGTATGGAGAGCACATGTTGTATCAGTTTTCTAGGTTATTGTACAGATAATCCTAAAAGACTAAGAGAAGTAGAGCAGAAGAACAATACCCATCAAGGTTTGGTTAACATACTTTTAGTGACCTGTATATTTCAATGCTTAAATGTTTTATGGTATTTGGGGGCCACTGTATGAACCAATGTGGCAGTGTCCTGTTACATTATAGTATCTGTCACTGGATCATAGCACTGGTTTACAATTAGAGGCAGGAGTGTACCTGAAAATTTTATTATTCCATAAAGAAGACACAGTCTATCTGCTTATGTAATATTTAATTTGCCAAATAAACAAATGTCTGGTTTTAATAACTCTAAATGATGCCTGTTGGAGAAAAACATGCATAAAACTCAATGCATTATTCAAGCTGGTGGTTTTCATCAGCAAATGCTAACCAGAAACGAGCCAATCCTGGTAGACCAGTAAAAACTCTACCAGGCAGAGTAAGGATAGGACCCAGGCCCCAGAAAAACAAGGACATTCCATTTCGTTTTTTTTTAATGACTTTATCCAACCCTCTAGTCTGGTGATAGAGCCTGATAACATGTGTAGAGAGAGAAAGGACAAGCAAGTGAAGGGATTAATTAATTTGTTATACATTTTTGTTTTCTAAATTATTAAATTTTAAGAGGGAAATCATAAATAATTGAAATCCTCGGACAAGTCAGAAATTTTATTTGGCCTGGAGTTTTTTCTATCAAAAAAGTAAACCTGGAATAAAACTACAGCACATTTCTTCTTTATTTCTCTTGGAGGGAGACTTCCAAATGAATAGAAAAGTGTACAAAAGGCAAGCAAATGAAGGAACGACATTAAAGGTTTATAATTTTCCCAGAGGAAAATAAGCTGTTAAATAAATGAAAGGGACCTAAAGTGTGACCATGGTCCATTCAATCCACCCACTCAGACATGCAGTAATCTTCTGAAATTTGACTGAGGAACAGTCATTTTGACAGTTTCTGAGAAAAATGTCCTTGATGAATAAGATGTGCACATTACTTCTGTAGCCTAGGTAAGGGAGGTTGGGTGCACAGGCAACTGATTCCAATATGACATTTGGAGAGCTCTTCACATGTGAATGGTATGCAAAGGGGAGAAAAGGAAAGAAGGACAAATGTCACCCAGGAAAGAAGGGGAAGGCTTCAAAAAGGAGGGAATGTTTTATTTTAGTCTTGAAGGAAGAGGTGGAGTTTACTAGACAAAAGGCGCTTTATAGGAAGGAAAGGGCAGGCATAACTCAGGGTGACTCGAGAGGAAAAAAATTCACATGTTGGGCTGGTGGTGTGTTGATGCCTACTGTTGCAGTACCTATTCAGCCAGATAGAGGATGAATTGTTTCTAATGCAAATACCTGATCAGTCAGCATGTTGCCCCACGTATTAGGATTCCGATCTGGGTCCCAGTAATCCTGCAAATATATATGTCTTTTGAGATGTAGGAACTGGTTTGCTGGGTCCTCCAACAAAAATGGCGCTCCCAAGGCTCCTGTAATTCAGAGTCCAAGAGCACAGCATCTTTTAGGGCAGTAGTTTACATCTCAATGTTTATCTTCTTAAAGAGACACAGCTGTGGCCTTTGGGAGGTTGGGGGTCTGAGAAGGGAGCCCTGAAAAAGTTATGTGCCAAGGGAGATGACTGCCCTTCAGCCTTCCCCCCTCACTGCGCTATCACCACCCTATGTGTCCTGAATATAGCACAGCATGAAAGTGTGTGCTGAATGGAAAAGATTTTTAGAGCCTTCTGTACCTGCTTGGGAGCCCACAGACCTGGATTCAAATTCCAGCTCTATCACTTTTCTGGAAAAGTTGCTTAATTTCTCCAAGCTGCAGTTTTCTTGTATGTAAAAGGTATAATAATAACAGAGTAACACAGTAACATAAGATCACCATAAGAGTTGGGTATACTAATGCTTTAAAACGTCTATCTCAAACCAGGCAGTCAACAATCTTATTCTTCCTTTCATAGCCTTCCAAAAGAGGACATATATTTCAGTTTGAAGTAGACTGCTTCCAAATCTGGCACTGTGGTTTGAACTTGAATATTGATAGATCTATCACTGAATTGAAGAACTTTGCATTTTATACTCCTTCCCAGTACAGGATTAAGGAAAAAAAAGATGATTGCTTTTAAAAATCCAGACTTTTTTAGTATCATGAAATTTTAACAGTCTAGATGGTATTTTCATTTCTAAATAAAACACAGTCACATTCAGAGTTGTAATTTGAATCAGTTTCAAGAAAGAACACACTCTTGACCCATTTGTGGTAACAATATAATGTGTTCATTGCTTGTGATAAAGACGCATTTATTACAAATGTTATGTTAGGTACTCTACAGCCTCATCATAACAGGACTCTATTGACCAGAGTTATAGTGAACTATAAGATATAAAACCTCTCCTCCGTAAGGGAGGGGTATGAGGGGTCCAAGATTAAAAATAAAACAAGGCAATATAGGACTTGGTTGTGCTAAGGGAGTTTAGGAAAAGGTGTCATTATTGAGCTTTGAGGCTCTGGGGCATGAGCAGACGTTTTCTTTTTTCTTTCTTTTTTAAAAATTTTATTAACATACAATGTATTATTTGCCCCAGGCATACAGGTCTATGAATCATCAATAAGCGGACATTTTCATGGTCAGGAAAATTGCTGAACCTATTCCTTAAAGAAAAGATTAAATTTAGCAGGATAGGAGAAGGAACAAAACTTTACATTTTAAGCCGGAGAAGTAATGTGGGACTGGGAATCCTTAAAACGAATGTCTGAAGACAATGGTTAAAGGTAGCTAGATTATTTGTGCATGCGTGTGTGTGTGTGTGTGTGTGTGTGTGTACTGATGTCACACACAAATATTAATGATAGTTAACATTCACTGAACCTTGCACTAAAAAATACTTCACCTGAATTACCTTATTTAATACAACAAACCTAAGAAGTAGCACCTGTCAGTCACCTCATTTTGCAGACAAGGTAACTACCTCAGAGAAAAGTTAAATAATATGTTCAAGGCCACCTAGCTAGTTGGAAGGGGAGATGGAATTCTCCCTTTAAAGGCATTGTGCAACATTATGTCTATGAGATAGGAATCCTTGGTGCCAAAGAAAAGTAATAATAATTAAAAAAGCCTTATGCATTTATAAAAAAGAGATGATCATTACTTACACATTTGTTATAATCTCTTGCTTTTCCAAGCTTGACCTTGAGCACTAAGCAAGATTTTAGTTATTAGCTCTATTACTTCCAGTTAAATTTGTTACCTCACTAAGCTCTAGTTCTAACTGCCTACCTATTGAAAGTGACAACCTCTGTGGATACCACACATCAATCAGGCTGCCTCTAGTGCAAAATACTACTAGTGATGAAGGTAGAAAAAGGACTCACATTCTCTATTAATAGGAAGTTAGCAATTTTAGTTATTCACGATTTAAAAATAAAAGACAAAAGTCAACTTTTCAGTAGATATTAGTAACAGATGCTAGAAGTAATATTGGCCTGCTTCTAGGTCATCTGATTCAGTACAATAAAGCCAGCATTCCTATGGAAGCCATCCTCTAAGATGTCCCCCAAAGACCACTACCTTCTTGGTATTCAGATCCTCTGTGGTCTTCCTTCATTTAGGAGTGTGGACCTACGTAATCACAGGACACTGTGGAAATGACAGTGTGTACTTTCTGTGGCTAGAACATAAAAGGTATTAGAGCTTCTGCCTCACACCTTTCTTGGATCACTTGCTCTAATGGAAGACAGCTGCCATGTTCTGAGGACGCTCAAGTAGCCATGAAGAGAGGCCCACCTCACAAGGAACTGAAGCGTCCCATCAACAGCCACACAAATGAACCATCTGGGAACCTGATGCTTTCATCCCAGTTAAACCTTTAGATCATAACAGCCCTCACCGACATCTTTACTATAATCTCATGAGAGTTCCTGAGTCAGAATTATTGACTTAAGCCACTCCCAAATTCCTCAGAAACTGTAAGATATGTCTTATTCTAAGTTGCTACTATTTGGGGATATTGTTAGGTCATAGTAGATAACTGATTGCTGCACTATGAATGCCTGTTGATGTCAGCTTAAACTGCTAATCACCAGAGCTGAGACACAGATAAAGCAAGTAAATCCACAAATAGAAGAAACCTGCTGTCAAGCTTACACAAGTTTTGTGCCATAAGATCTCCACTCGCCTCACCCTCATCCCTGTTCTGATAATCATCATTGTGTAGAAAGATAAACAAAAAATAAGAAACTCCCATTATATTCAGAGCTCATAAATAATTATAAGGAAACATACTGTGACTAGACCATTTGAAGGGGGAGTGATTAATTCTTGTTTTTTTAAAGATTTTATTTATTTATTTGACAGAGATCACAAGCAGGCAGAGAGGCAGGCAGAGAGAGAGGAGGAAGCAAGCTCCCTGCCGAGCCAAGTGCCCAATGCGGGTCTCGATCCCAGGACCCTGGGATCATGACCTGAGCTAAAGGCAGAGGCTTTAATCCACTGAGCCACCCAGGTGCCACAGGAGTGATTAATTCTGATATTGGCATGGAGGGATCACAGGGAAATTGGTTTTGAGTTGAGCTTCCTGGGTTATGGAATGTTTCCAAAGTTAGGAAGAAGGGAGCAGAAGCAAAGAGCATGTAGTCCGGGTTGAAGAAGACTGGAGACCCAAGGAACAGAGGAGCAAAGTAAGGCTCAGGTTTGGGGACCCTCACTTTGCCAATGAGGGCTGAGGAGTGGATGTGTTCAGAATGTCGGAGGATTATTACTGTCATACCAAGGAGTTTGGACTTTATTCTTCAGATCATTAATATTTCTTTTTTTAAAAAAGATTTTATTTATTTATTTGACAGAAAGAGATCACAAGTAGGCAGAGAGGCAGGCAGAGAGAGAGGGGGAAACAGGCTCCTTGCTGAGCAGAGAGCCCGATGCGGGGCTAGATCCCAGGACCCCTAGATCATGACCTGAGCTAAAGGCAAAGGCTTAACCCACTTAGCCATGAAGGTGCCCCCATTAATATTTCTGAACAAGAAAATGATAAGACCAGGTTTACTTAAAATTTTTTGTTTGATTATGATTGAAATATGCATTACATAAAGCTATTTTAACCATTTTTAATTGTACAAATCAGTGGCATCAAGTACATTCACGGTGTTGTATAATCATCACCACCATCTCAAGAATTTTTCCATCCTCCCAAACAGAAACTCAGTACCGCCTAACAATTTCCATTACACTGTCCTCCAGCCCTTGGTCACCACCATTAGCTTTCTGTCTCTCTGCATTTGCTTATTGTAGGTACCTCATCTAAGAGGAGTCATGCAGTATTTGTCCCTTTGTGCCTGATTTATTTCACTTAGTATCTTCAAGGTGTACATGTTGAAGCATATATCAACATTGCATTCCTTTTTAAGACCAAATAATATTTTGTACATATATGCCAACATTTTATTTACCCATTCACAGATACTTTTGGAAACTCCTTTGTCAGTGGTGTTGGAAGGCAGAGGGTAAAAAGGAGAGAGACTGAGAGAGAGAGGTTGGAGCCTCTTCTAGTGGTCCAGAGAACAGACAACTAGGGCCTGAATCAGGTGAGTGATACCAGGGGTGGGAAAACAGGACTGACTGGAACAGAATGGGAAACTCATTAGTCTGGGCTCACTGGTGCGGACTGACCAGCACTGAAGTTCTGGTTTTAATGAGATGTGTTCATAGGTGACTTCTCAGATTTCTCTTCATTCTCTTTGAAGAAAGGTGTCAGTTACAGTGTTAACACTTTAAAATGCTTTTCTGTTTAAAAATAAAAGGAGGAGTGGGAGGTTTTCAAAACAGAGATTATTTAGGCAAAGGAGATCCAGCATCAATATCTAATCAGTGTTTCTCTTTTTTAAAAAATATTTATTTGAGAGAGAGAGCAAGAGAACTTGAGCAGGGGAAGGTACAGAGGGAGAGGGAGAGAGGAGCCCAAGCAGACTCCCCACTTAGCGCAGAGCCTGACACGGAAGCTCAGTCCCATGACCTGAGATCACAACCTGAGCTGAAATCAGCTGAGTTGGTAGCTTAACCTACCAGCCACCCAGGCACCCCTTTAATAAATGTTTCTACATAAATTATGCTTAAGATATAATTTACAAGTACACATTAACCACTTAAGATAGTGTTACTTGAAATCTTCCAAAAGTAAAACCAATATTCTGCACCATGATTGTCTTGGTGCCTTGTCTAAACACTGAGGGAAAAAAAATGCTGTTACATAAATCTTGGCAGAGAAGCTTTAAAATATAAACCATAGCTATTTTAAGCTCTAATAATTCTGTCTTTTGTAAATCTTCTCTCTTTTTGCTCATGGAAGATGTTTCAGTGATACAATGTCCCCCATGCCCCCACCCTTGCCCCTGAACAAAGCACCTTCCTCAGCTTTATGCACCCAACAGACATCCAATAAATATTAATTGATGGTGATAATAGCATCACCCACGAGAGAGACAGAAA